GCCCCTCAGCCCCCTGGGGGGTCAGCCCTACCATTTGTACAATTTTGAATCCCCACCACCTAGGGATGCTTCCAGTGAAATATGGTTGATATCCATTTTTAGTTCCAGAGAAGAAGTTGCTTAAAGCAATATAGCCAAATTGCCCCCTTTTGGCCCAGCCCCTCAGCCCCCTGGGGGGTCAGCCCTACCATTTGTACAATTTTGAATCCCCACCACCTAGGGATGCTTCCAGTGAAATATGGTTGATATCCATTTTTAGTTCCAGAGAAGAAGTTGCTTAAAGCAATATAGCCAAATTGCCCCCTTTTGGCCCAGCCCCTCAGCCCCCTGGGGTGTCAGCCCTACCATTTGTACAATTTTGAATCCCCACCACCTAGGGATGCTTCCAGTGAAATATGGTTGATATCCATTTTTAGTTCCAGAGAAGAAGTCGCTTAAAGCAATATAGCCAAATTGCCCCTTTTTAGCCCCGCCCCTCAGCCCCCTGGGGGATCAACCCAACCATTTGTACAATTTTAAATCCCCACCACCTAGGGATGCTTCCAGTTAAATTTAGTCAAATTCCAATCAGTGGTTAAGAAGAAGAAGTCGTTCAAAGAAATTGTTGACGTACAGACGACGGACGGACGACGGACGACGGACGCCAACGGTATCGCATAAGCTCACCTTGGTCCTTCGGACCAGGTGAGCTAAAAATGTAGGAGAAAATCTCCAAATAAAAAATCAAATACTGAAATGAACAAAGGGCAGTAACTTTTGCAAAATTCGTCGAATCAGAATTCTTTTACCGGAAGACACAACTTCATATCATGATTATAATGAATACCAAGTTGCAAAAAGATCGGTCGAAAAATGTAGGAGGAGATCTCCGGACAAAAATCAAATACTGAAATGAACAAAGGGCAATAACTTTTGCAAAATTCGTCGAATCAAAATTCTTTTAAGGGAGACACAACTTCATATCATGATTATAATGTATACTAAGTTTCAAAAAGATCGGTCGAAAAATGTAGGAGGAGATCTCCGGACAAAAATCAAATACTGAAATGAACAAAGGGCAATAACTTTTGCAAAATTCGTCGAATCAAAATTCTTTTAAGGGAGACACAACTTCATATCATGATTATAATGTATACTAAGTTTCAAATAGATCGGTCGAAAAATGTAGGAGGAGATCTCCGGACAAAAATCAAATACTGAAATGAACAAAGGGCAATAACTTTTGCAAAATTTGTCGAATCAAAATTCTTTTAAGGGAGACACAACGTCATATCATGATTATAATGTATACTAAGTTTCAAATAGATCGGTTGAAAAATGTAGGAGGAGATAGCCGGACAAACAAAAATTTACGCCAGACAGACAGACGGACAACCCCATACCATAATACTACCGTCAAATTTGACGGTCATATAAAAATAATGACGTCATATTGCCACTGTAAAAATAGGTGCTAAATTACTGTTTGGAAACCCATTCATGTTTCAGTTAGATGACTGATCAGTGGAAAACAAACCAAGGGGTTCCAGCCAGGAAGGAGTTCTGGCTACAGAATGATACAATACTTGTATTATCACAGTGTGAAATACAGAACCTTGTATCTCCCCTCATCTGTAGTGAAGAAGTAAGATCAAATTTACCCCAATTTGTACTATTGGGTCCAGCCCCATTGCTAGGGGGGGGATACCTTTATTTATACAAACGTAAGTCCCTTTGACCCAGAAATGCTCTACATTAAGTTTTGTCCAAATTTCAACACAAAGAAAGTAATTTCTTATGATGTTCACAGGATCATAATTCTCAAACTGGTTCGAAGTAGCATCCTATTAACAGCTAAGGTTGTTGAAAGACGTGTCTTCATGGGTGAAATGTGCATGCATTCTAGAGGGATATGTTGGTGCATTTGTGTCGTAGCGTGGATGATCCATCTGATGCCAACTTTAACAAGAGGCCCAATGAGCCTGAATCGCTCACCTGGTATTAATCTCACACTTGTAATCTAAAAGTGGACTAAAATACAGCTACAGGCAGAATATCAGTGTTTGATTCATAAGAACCTATTAAAAGATATAAACATATGACGCCTGTGACCTTGAATGTTGAACAAGGACATAAGGTTGAACAGAGTTTATAGTCTTCCATCCCAGCATGCTTCTAGCAAAATATCATTACGCAGGACCTTTTGGTTACACAGAACAATTCATTTAAAGATTTAAACATTTAAATTAACTTGGTAGTCCTTCATCCCAGCATGACTGGCCAAATATCATCATCATAGGCCTTTTGGTTATTTATCAGAAGTTGTTAAAAGATTTTAACATATTTGACACCTGTGACCTTGAATTTAAGTCAGGGTCATTCATTTGAACAAACTTGGTAGCCCTTCATCCCAGCATGCTACTGGCCAAATATCATCATCATAGGCCTTTTGGTTAATCAGAAGAAGTTGTTTTAAAGGTTTTTAACATATTTGACTCCTGTGACCTTGAAAATAGATGAAGGTCATTAATTCGTAGAAACTAGGTAGTCCTTTATTCCAGCATGCTATTGGCCAAATATCATCATCATAGGCCTTTTGGTTATTTAGAAGAAGTTGTTTTATGACTTGTTTTAACATATTTGATTCCTGTGACCTTGAAAATAGATGAAGGTCATTAATTTGGATAAACTTGGTAGTCCTTCATCCCAGCATGACTGGCCAAATATCATCACCCTCGGGCTATTGGTAATTCAGAAGAAGTTGTTAAAAGATTTTAACATATTTGATTCCTGTGACCTTGAAGATAAATGAAGGTCATCAATTCGTAGAAACTTGGTAGCCCTTCATCCCAGCATGCTACTGGACACATATCATCACCTTGGCCTTTTGGTTATTTAGAAGAAGTTGTTTTAAAGTTTTAACATATTTGATTCCTGTGACCTTGAAAATAAATGAAGGTCATTAATTTGGAGAAACTTGGTAGTCCTTTATTCCAGCATGCTATTGGCCAAATATCATCATCCTAGGCCTTTTCGTTATTCATCAGAAGTTGTTAAAAGATTTTAACATATTTGACCCCTGTGACCTTGAAAATAAGTCAAGGTCATTCATTTGAACAAACTTGGTAGCCCTTCATCCCAGCATGCTACTGGACAAATATCATCACCTTGGCCTTTTGGTTATTTAGAAGAAGTTGTTTTAAAGGTNTTAATTTTTTTTACATATTTAATTTGACCACTGTGACCTTGAATATAGGTGAAGGTCATTTATTTGAACAACCTTTGTAGCCCTTCATCCCAGTTTGCTTGTGGCCAAATTTCATAACCCTAGGCCTATTGGTTATTGAGGAGAAAATGTTTAAAGTAAAATAAAATATTACAGCCGGACGACGGACGCCGCGCCTCGGCATAAGCTCACTGGCCCTGCGGCAGGTTAACTAAAAATCTACCTTAACTGAAATACCATACTAAAGGCACCCAGCACAGTATTCCACCAAACCATGTTACACTTACAATGGGCCGACCAGCCATTGTATGCACCTACTTCTTTTTTTAATCGATTTTAATGGAATTTTAAATAGAATTAAATTGAGAAAAAATTGAAGGATGGTTAAAATGACAGAATCACATAATTGATTCCTACCTTTTCAAGCAGTATATTTTCTGTCTCCAAAAGAGAGAAATTAAACAGTGAACTCACTTTACATAGTAATTGTGTGACAAATTCTACAACAGTATTATAATTCAATAAGGAAGTGTGATACTGTACCTTTTACAAGAATCGAAGTTCCTGTCATCAGGTCCATCTGTAGACAAAGTGAACTCTTATAAGATTTTTATTTAAATGAATTAATTGAGACATTTTCCCCTAATATATCCATAGTTCTAGATCCAGTTACATCTTTCCCATTATACAATCAGAAGCAATCTATTACTGGGTAACATTGAGTACAACTTTATACAAAACTAGCCCTGCCAACTTAACCGTCTTTATTCAGTGGTGAAATCACCGTTATCCTGATCAATCCTGAGTTAACAACATTGTCAAGCAAAATTAATTCCAATATTCTCAGTAAAGTTAACAAGAGGCCCAGAAGGCCTGTATCGCTCACCTAGATATCTAAGCAATCGGGGATTTTTTTTTCTCCAAATGAGATCAAAGGGAATATGCCAGACACCAAGGCAAATCCTTGTAGTATATCTGTATTAGATTTTTCATTCCCAGCAATTTTATGTATGGTTATGGGGTGGGGATCTCAACTGTTTCCAAGCTGTGACTCAGAAACTAGGTCCCTAGGGTGGTGACCAGACCCCAGGATCAATTCTAATATCAAGACTGCATTTGTCTCTTTTTGCCCAGCATTTGTATATCTAGTTTTGGGGTGGGGATTTCAAACATTTCAAAGTTATGACCCAGGGGTTAAGTCTCCAAGGGTGGGGCAGTCCCCAAGGCCATCCTGGAAGCATATGTGCATTCATCTCTTTATACTCAGAAATTGTATATGGTTATAGGGTGGGTATCTCAACAGTTTCAAAGCTGTGAGTAAGAAAATAGGTCCCTAGGGGTTCGGTCAGACCCCAGGGTCTATTCTAATATCATGACTGCATTCGTCTCTTTACGCCCAGCATTTTTATATATAGTTTTGGGGTGGGGATCTCAACCGTTTTAAAGTTATGGCCCAGGGACTATGTCTCCAAGGGTGGGGCCAGACCCTAGGGCCATCCTGGAAGCAAATGTGCATTCTTCTCTTTATACTCAGCAATTGTATATATGGTTATATGGTGGGGATCTCAACCATTTCCAAGTAATACACTTTTTTGGCCCCACCCCTTTGCTGGGGGGTCAGCCCAACCATTTGTACAATTTCAATCCCTGCCTCCCATGAATGCTTCCGACCAAATATGATCGATATCCATGGCATAGTTCTATAGAAGAAGTAATTTATAGCAATATAGCCAAATTGCCCCCTTTTGGCCCCTCCTTCAGCCCTCTGGGGGTTCAGCCCCACCATTTGTATAATTTTGAATCCCCACCACCTAGGGATGCTTCCAGTCAAATATGGTTGATATCAATCTCTTAGTTCCAGAGAAGAAGTCGCTTAAAGCAATATAGCCAAATAACCCTTTTTGGCCCCGCCCCTCAGCCCCCTGGGGGGTCAGCCATACCATTTGTACAGTTTTGAATCCCTGCCTCCCATGAATGTTTTTGATGAATATGATTGATATCCAGTTCATAGTTCTACAGAAGAGGTCGTTTGTAGCAATATAGCCAAATGGCCCCCTTTTGGCCCCGACCCTCAGCCTCCTAGGGGGTCAGCTCAACTAGGGATGCTTCCAGTCAAATATGGTTGATATCCATCTCTTAGTTCCAGAGAAGAAGTCGCTTAAAGCAATATAGCCAAATTGCCCCTTTTTTGCCCCACCCCTCAGCCCCCTAGGGGGTCAGCCAACCATTTTTACAATTTTGAATCCCCACCATCTAGGGATGCTTCCAGTCAAATTTAGTTAAATTCCAATCAGTGGTTAAGAAGAAGTAGTTTATAGAAATTGTTGACGACGGACGGACGCTACGGTATGGCATAAGCTCGCCTTGGTCCTTTGGACACGGTGAGCTGAAAATGGAAAATATGGAATTACGGGGTGTACAATGTGGGGCATTGGTGTAGTTAGAAATCTCTCTGACAACACCAATGCCCCTCCTTTCCAACATTTTACCCCCACCACAGAGATTGGGGTTTGGGTCAAAGACAGGGTATTGGGTTAGCAAGAGAGATAGGGTTTGGGTAAAAGATGGAGTGTTGGGGTGGTCAGAGACATTGGGGTTGGGTTAAAGATGGGTTGTCGGGGTGCCGTGGTCAGAGACATTGGGTTCGGGGTAAAACATGAGGTGTTTGAGTGCTGATTATCTGTATTGTACATGTCTGATACTGAACAGATACAACTTACACATGCATACTTCTTACCTACGGTGAAAACATTATTGACAACCACAAACAGGTGACTGTCATTTTGAGTAATTTTAAATGCATCATTCTCCATTTCGACCGCAGTCCAAACCCCATCTCCATCGCAGTATTTCAGGCCAGTTGCCTCTTGAAATTCAGACTTCAGTTCCTTGATGTGCAGCACACCGTCGCAAATAGGGATGTCTTTCACTTGCCCATGTGGGTCTAATGCAACGCGAACAGTAGACATTGTTTAAGCCAAGATCCTCATATATGTACTGAATGATATCTATTTCTGAAACAAATTAAAAATTGCAGGCTTTATATTTAACTGTACATAATGTATTTTGATAGCAAAGTGTTCTTTTTGAATGAAGTACACTTTCTATATATAACACAAATTATTTGCAATATGCTATACTGAGATGTTGATATCTTAGCTTACATGCTATAAAGTCAAATGCAGTTCCATTAACTGAAAGTATATATGACCCCAAAAAAATTACACCTGCCCATAGTCTCCCACCAGTAATGATTTCTTTATTGACTGATATATACACTTATTTATGTATATAGGTCAGTTACAGACCTCCTGTACTCCCTCCAAATGCCAAAACATACTTGCAAACCAAATCTTGTTAGCCAAGATGAACGAGTTTTGCTGAAATCGTCCTAGTAGTTAAGGAAGAG